TCCTAAAAAGTGAATACTAGGGGAATGGATATGCTATATAGACACAAGTGACTTAGGGGTGGAGTGGTTAGAGGAGCTAAGGACAAAGGTCTCAGGTTCGAATCCTAGCACCATCGCGTACCATGAAAAATAGCATGGAGCTAGAGCTGGAGAAGTATCCTAGTACCATGAAGCTGGATCTGGTGGTGGGGCTTCCCAAGATTGAAACAAAATTTTTTGGCCCATTTTTTAGATTTTTGAAAATTCAAATCACCGCTGGCTGAAGCCGGAGCTGGGTGGGGGGGGGGCTTCCCAGGATTGAAATGATTTTTTGGCCCTTTTTGGGATTTTTGAAAATTCAAATCACCGCCGGTTGGTAATACAAACCGATTGTGATAATCTAGTATCACCGCCGGTTGCAAACCGCCTGTGATGAGACTGTCATCACCAACGACAGCTTACTGGCAAGACCAAAAAGCGTTTATGATGGGCTTTACGAAACACTTGTGATAGGTTTGAATGTAGTAGTGAAAGTTGTAGTAGGGTTGGCCACGATATCATTCCAATTCAGTATTGCTATGTGTTTGTCGCTGTGATCAAAGAGGTCTTAAACCTATCTACCATAGATACCGTGACATTAGTGTGTGCATCACTGATAATCACTCTGAATCCATCTTCATGTTGCTTCATAAGTAACAATCAGGAAGTCTTCAAACTCTCAATCTTGTCTTTAAGGAGACCATGTATCAATCTTACAATGACCAACCCATGCAACCTTTTCAACACTACATAGCTCCTTAATTGTGCTTGACCAAATAAGAAACCATCATGGTGAATCTCAAGGGTGAACTCATCATCACTCGCACCTACATACCACCAAATTCCATGCGAGTGAACTATAATAACAAAAATAGACTACAAACCAAAACCCTAAGGCCAAACCAAAAACCTATAGCTCTAGTCAAAATCAAAAATATCTAGACAAAATAATCTTACCACTAAACATGACCACAACTAGCAAACAATCGCCAACGATTAAAGAGATTGGAGCTATGATCAACATACACACATGCTCAGTCGCTCCTTTTAGGTGCAATCTAGGGGCCATTGTCGAGCCTCAAGGACGCGGACTGTGGCAGAACTGCCTAATCTAATGCCCTCCCAAGGGTACTTCCCTTCCTTAAGACACTGAGTACCCAAGAGAGTGCACTAAATCGTGCCGTTCCGTCGAGCACACCCCGAGGGAGAACTCGAAAATCCACATTTTTTCATCAAGATCATAAATGAGGGTATAAAGCTTGCAACATTCTTAGCCATTTCTTACATCACTTTATTACAACATTAGGGTACTTAAACAAGTTGAATGCAATAGCAGAATTAAGACAATTTTACATGTAAAAGAGTTTATATATTTTAGGTTCACAATTTTATCTTGTAGCGGAGAACAACATATAATCAGAGTTACAACGAAAATAAAGATTAATGGTGAATCATTAACATAGGGAACATTTATAAACCAGATATGATGACAGATCATAAAACTTTTCTTCTAAAAACTTTTAGTGCGGGTTATAAATAAACACCACGGTCGTAGTGTGAAAGGAATCCTCTCTGAGCCCACCAGGAAGTTTCCACACACAAGAGTCAGCTCTATGTATCCTCCGGTCACCTGCAATAGGGGAAATAAAACCCTAAGTACTCGATTGTACTCAGCAAGACTTAACCGACAGGAGAAAAATAAAAGACTCCAAGGATATACAAGACTTATTTGGCTTGTGGGTTATTGCATCTACGGAAGCATTACTAAACGTGTGTCCTTATATTAAATTTTATTAGCAGTCATCATTAGTCCATTAACTATCTATTCTATGTAAGCACCTATGCTACTTTCAAGCAGGTGGTGAGCAATCAGAACCATTTTACCATCTTTCATATTCTAGTTCTTACTATGGTGCTAGACCATAGCCAAGTCGGTACCGTCTCACAGAAACGGCGATTCACGAATCAATGTATCCTAGCTGGGTACCCCGAAACACATGCCTCACTTGTACCCTAGGCACAAACAAGACCAACCCGCTCCACTCCTGTCAAGGGGTCTAGGTCCCCATCCAAACATGAACTCCAAGCCCCCACATTTGAGACCCGGTCTCAGCATGGTGCTTAGACCTCCACCTTTCCCCGCCTCCAATTAGTCAGTCCAGAAAGAGCCAGAACCTACGATAAGAGCGCAATGAGCCTTCCCACTCCCATAAGCAAGTATGTGCTCAGGATAATAAGTCTGTGACCTGACTACCATCCACAACAATGGACGGTCCTCAATCGACACAGGCGGAACAAGTGTAATCTGAGCCTTGCTCGAATGCCTAACCAAGTCCAGATCTAAAGTATCATTCTGCCCGGTCTCCAATTATCCTTCATATATATTCCATGTGATAGTAATATAATAACAACAATAATATCTTTCCTATCTCTCGCGAGTGACAAGTAATCACTCGACTTCTACTAGATCCTATAGCATAGCAATCTACACGATCCTGACATACTAGTAGGACTCATAGGGTAAGGATATATATATGCAAGTGGTTTTCATCCAACTCCTTAAAACTTAATGCACACGCATAAAATAAAGTGCAGAATAATAGGGGTTATGCACCGGGGCTTGCTTGGGCAAGATATAACCAAGGATTAGCATTCCATCGGGGTGACACGATCACCAAGGCTCCATCTTTTCTGCTTTTCCGGTCGACTCTACGATCCATCATTGTCCCTATTATGATATACGTAGACGCAACGCAGAAAACGTAATTAACCAACGGCAACCGCTACTCTAAGAATACGATTACGCCTCTCATGCTAACGAGCTAGCTTTAACGGCTAACGCACTAGGCTACGTATCCATGTTGTCGAATAAGGCATTATTTCCCAACAAATGTTTTAGCTATACAAACCCAAGGTGCTTTTTTTCCATTTCATGGATTTAATATATATTTGAACTATGACTCATTAGCTATCTTAGCACACTAACTATTCTGGAGCTACAAAAATTACAGTTAGCACCTAATAATATTAGGAATTTACTGTGAAATTTTTAGAGCCAACACTATCACCAATTTATTACAAAAATTCCTACAAATTTATATTTTAACAATATTAAGCATCTTAATTTAATTAGAGAACTCCTGAAAATATTATAAAACTATGTGAACAAGATATACTAGCAAATAGATCACGATTTTAGGAAGCCCACGCACGATGGCGGCTTTGCAGAAAAGCCCCGAGCATTTAGATAATAACATGACTACTATGCACACTATTCCTACATACAGAGGTTTTGCAAACAAACCCTCAGATGTTTATCCCTTTACCACGGGGAGGTCCCTGGGGATCCCCACGCTTGCCGACGCAACGGCCGACGGCATAGGGCGATTACGCTGGGCAACCTAGGCATGCTACGATAGAAGTAAGGGACCGACCGCCATCTACGACTAAACGAGCAAGGATGGGTCACGGTTAGGAACTCGGAGATGTACTGGCGCGAGCGGCTATCCGCGGCGGCAGCACGGCCGTTCTGACGACCTAGGGCACTAATGGAGAGGCAGAGATGGCGGGGAAGAACCAGAAACTCACCGAGCACCGAGCTGCGGTGACGGTTGAAACCGGGAAGTGCTGAGGTGGTCCGGCCACGTGCGCCCGCACTACGCGGCGACGCTCCGAGCACGGCACCGACATGTCACGGCACCATGGTAGAAACCCGGGCCAACCTGACATGAGCACCAGCAAGAGGAGATCAACACGAGTCCAGAAACACCACCAATTAGGTTCTACCCCCATGGATTGGGACGTACCCCCAACCCACTAGCTGCGGCGGTGATCATGGCCGGCGGTGGGCAAAACCCGAAATTGGCCGTAGACAGACCACCGCTAGACCCGACAAGAATGGGGCATCTAGTTAACTCCCCATGCTACTCATTGGCACAAGGAATTGGGATGAGAAGTCTTGAGCTGGTGATTATGAAGGGGGGGGGGAGAGAGAGCGGTGCTTCGCCACTACTACATCGCGTGAAGCGGCTGAAAGCTCTAGTTTGGTTTTGGTTAATTGATGAAACCATAAGTGCTAACCTAGTTTATCAAGGTAATTATGAGATAGGTAGCACTACTCCAAGTGATGAAGCAATATCGAAGATCATGACAAAGGTGATGGCATGGTGATGATCAAACGCTCACTACAAGAAATCTAGGCTTGTATGACAAAGGCCATCTGTCACATTAATTCAAAAAAGTGTCATACAAAGCTGCTCATGACGAAATACAGGCGTCACGCCAGTCGTCATATAACGACCGTCACATAATGTACCGCGTGACGATTTTCTAAACTGCCGTCACAAATAGTCTGTACTTTTTGTGACGGTCATCACCCATCGTCACAATTTGTTACAATATATGACGTGCTTCTGCGTCACTAATAGTTGGTCAACGCGTCGTATGTGACACCGGTCGTCACGTATTACGGTCTGAGAACCGGTTTTTGATCAACTTTTGTGACGGTTCTCTCGTGTCATGTTATGTTCTTTAGATTATATGACACTACTGTTTCGTCTTGTTTACTCTTGTTGTAGACCATGATTTGAGACGAATATATGGTGTCACAGTTATCTATGGAAAACATGACGCTCCTGGCATCCATGTTCAGTGACAACATACAAATCTATCACATGGAACCAAAAGCAGAATACACACATAAATATATAGAAGCCCAGGCATCATCACCAGGCTTAACATCACACAGAATTCATAGAAGTTTATACACATTTATTCAAATGGTTGCAAACACAGTAGCAACCACATAGGTCCATCACAGATCCACACCACATAGTTCCTGCACATCTAAACCACAGAAGTTCCACCACATAGTTCCACCACATCAAACACAGAAGTTCCAACACATGAAAATAACAAAGTTCCAACCACAGATCAAGGTTGTAGTAAAGTTCCCCATCCTCAGAAACTGCATCAAACCTACCTCAATCTTTTTGAAGTTTCAAGACAGCTCGCAGTAGTGCATTAGTCTCTTCAAACTTGTTATGCATCCCCTTCACTTCCTCTTGGGTCTGGAGCAGCAAACTTTGGTTTTCTTTAAGTGCAGCCTGTTGAGCTTGAAGTTGTGCTTGCAATTCTTCCTGCTTCCTAGCAGCTTCTTCTCTTTCAGCCTGCAGTCTTTCCTCAAACTCGGCTTGCATGCGTACTTGTGCTGCTGTCGATGAGGCACGGTTACTTTTCGACGCTCGAGGGACACCAATGTTGGGAAGAAAGGTGGAAGAACGACTAATCTGGCTGAGACTGTCAGCAACAATCTTGGAAGGAGACTTTTGTGCTTGTCCTTCTTCTGGCTGTTTTTCTTTCTCTGCCACCATTAGTGCCTACATAAATTGAATGTAGTAAATAAGTCCATAGAAAGTGTTCAACCAGACATGTAATTCAGTACAGTAGATGTTTCTTTTCATTTTGTAACTTACATATACTTCATTGGCAAGAGGAGTTCGACCACTTTTGGGACTATTCATGCATTCACCAAAGAAATCAACAGGATCAGGTTCCATGTTATTGTACTTAGCCCTCTGCAACATTTAGAAAACTTGGATTACAATGATTGTTGGATGAGCCACTGTGTTTGGAAGAGGTGAAGACATGGCTGGACCAGTCCTAGTGATTGTTGGATGAGGCACTGCGCTTGTAGTTTGGGTGGTTTGGCTGCTGTTTGTAGTGTTGTGGCCTTGTAGTTGGCTGGTACTTGGAACAGGTGCAGGCTTAGGGTTGGCTTTGGAAGTGGACTTAGGAGGCAATGGATGTCTTATCCTTGGTGGTGGACGGCCACCAGGCGAAGGCATGTTTACACTTTGCCTAGTAACTCTGGTAGGCGTGCGCGGGGGCTTCTGGTTGGTAGCCGCCATTGTTGCCACCTTTTGCTTCTTTGGGCGAGTTCCTGGTACCATTGGATTTTCCTAACAAGAGAAAATGCATCTTATTAATTATGAAATAAGTGTCAAGTATATCAATGAACTACACTGAAGTATATGTTTGAAATGGATAGACCATGAACTTGTTAGTTTACTAGTAATGCATCTCACCTCCTCAAAATCATCAGAATCATCACTGTCAGTTTGGTTATCAATATCAGATGATGGATCATAATCATGGTCAGAATCACGATTGTCAGATACTAGTTCCTTCCCTTTGAGCTTGGCCTGTTTTGGCAGACCATCTATAACCTCTTTTGCTAAGATTGAAATACCCATTGATTTAAAAACATCCTGAATATGCTTAACATGCTTTTCCCTGTCCTTCTCATACTGGGTGTTGGTCATTTTCTTCTATTACTTATTACATGCAAACACATAGAATGTGCAGAAACTGGATGTCAGTTTCTGAAAAAAAAGTTAAAGAAAAAACTAACACATTAGTAGTAAAATCGTACAAAAATAAAGGCTAAATCTAGCAGGTAGTTAAAAGGTGATTTCATAGTATGAGCTTATGTTACTAAATTGTACTTCACTGCAATGAAATGAAGAGAAAATACCTAAATTTTTTTCTAGCAGTGGCAAGGCATCAGTTGGGTTACGCAGACAACAAACAGAGCATGAATGAATGAATTAGTACATTGCAGGGGAGGGTGGGATTAGATCTGGTAGTTGGTCTTACCGTAGACAATGGCTGAAGCGTTCAGTGTAGACCGGTGGCGTAGTAGGGGAGTGTGGGGTCGGATCTGGCAGTCGGTGTAGTGGTGGTGCCGCTCTGGCCTCGGGCCAGGGACGGAGGTACCACCGGCGTCGATGTAGTGGTGACGGCCCTCCGGCCTCGGGCCAGGGGCGGAGGTACCACCGGTGTTGGTGTAGTTGTGGTGCCCTCCGGCCTCAGGCCGGTGGCGAAGGTAACACCGGCGTTGGTGTAGTGGCGGTGGCGGGATCCGGCGTTGAGTGTCGGCGGAGTGCCGGCCAGCGGTGTGACGACAGCCGTGGTTTAGGGGAGGGAGGAGGAAGCCATGGTTTAGGGGAGGGAGGAGGAGGCCATGGTTTGCAGCGTCAAGGTGCAGAGGCGGGCGGTATGGTGGCGGCGGGCGCTGTGGAGGCGGGGTGGTGGCGGAGACCTAATCTGGATGATTGGGGAATTTTGCCTCGTGTGCTATCCAGGCGAGGGGATAAGGCAAGGAGGGTTTTGGATGGCTTGAGCGGGAGGCGGGGAGGGGCCCATGTGTCGGCGACAAGGAGAGCGCGGAGAGAGCGCGGTGCGGCCGTGAAAATTGGGCTGACGCATGGGCCCGATTTGTCGGTGGCATGTGACATGTGGGTCCAGATGTTCATCAGCTCCCACCATTTGTTCAAACGTTTTGTTTTTTAAATCTGTGGCAAAATCTTGTAACAAGTTTTTCTCCTACATACTACCTCCAAATCAGACGGTTTTTTTTCTAAAATTTCTAAAATCATGATGTATCAAAATATTGAGTTGTATTCGCTTATATTTTTTATGGTGCAAAAGTTTGATCAAAGGAACAAGTTCAACTTTTAAAATTTGCAACTTCAAACCAAAATTTGAACCTCCAAATCATTTCATCTGTAAAAGTCATGAATACAAGAGTTGAACAACTCATCAAGAGCAACAATTCTTATTTTGGTCATTCGGTCATCCGACAAAGTGACGATAATTTTGTTCACAAAAAATACATGTCTCACCTCTAGTTCATGAAACCCTAACTTAGATTATAGGATTTTGAACTATTTTACTATCACTTTGTCGGATGGACAAATGACCAAAATAAGAATTGTTGCTCTTGATGAGTTGTTCAACTCTTGTATTCATGACTTTTACAGATGAAATAATTTGGAGGTTCAAATTTTGGTTTGAAGTTGCAAATTTTAAAAGTTGAACTTGTTCCTTTGATCAAACTTTGCACCATAAAAATATAAGCGAATACAACTCAATATTTTGATACATCATGATTTTAGAAATTTTTAGAAAAAAAAACCGTCTGATTTGGAGGTAGTATGTAGGAGAAAAAACTTGTTACAAGATTTTGCCACAGATTTAAAAAAAAAAAACGTTTGAACAAATGGTGGAGCTGATGAACATCTGGACCCACATGTCATTGAAACGATGGTCCACTTGGCACTAGAGTAAATAAGACCTGGCCCCACATGTCATATGTAGAAGGGTACTTCACTTGTGCTTTAGAGTGTGGCCGGTGCCATCGTCACGGCCACCCTCCAACTGCATTCACGCCAGGGGCAATGACCTCCACCTCCAGCCATGCCACCCCAATGCCCTTCTCAAGAGCAGATTCTTCGCCTCCTCCTGATCTGAGCCTTGCCCCATCCTTCACTGCAGAAGCCTCCCTCCCTTCACCCTGCTTTGGTACCGGCGACGAGGCAATGGTGGACACTGGTGGGCCAACTCGTGGTGGTGCTTGGTCAAGGCTGAGCTACTCATCTTCACAGAAGCACCCACCAAGACGCTCACAAACCCCCCACCAAAGGTCGAGCTTGGCCGTCCAAGGCAAGGTGGATCTGCATTTGCTAAAATAATAAAAGGTGAGCTCAAGGAAGCGAGTGTTCCCTTTTCATTTTTTTTTGCATTTTTTTTACTTGTTTGCACCTACATACTTGCAGATCTAGATGGATAGAAGTTGGATTTATAACACAAAACGGTTTTCACCGGAGTTTATGTCCAGTGTTCAACAATTCATGGAACATGTGAGAGGTAGATATGGTCCAGATGAGGAAATCAAGTGTCCATGCCGAAAATGCCCTCGAACCGAAAAGAAATAAGTCAAGATGGTGTACAAGAACATATCGAACTCAATGGTATGTCTAAGTGCTATACTAGGTGGATTCACCATGGAGAGGAAGATCTTGATGTTGGTCAAGATGATGATGGAGAAGTTGCTGTTGTACCTGAAGATATGCCATGGGATGGAAATGAACAGTCAACACTTGATGAGGAAGGACAAGTTGAACATGTCATAGAAGATAGTGCACGGGGAGTTCAGGGGATCATTGAAGATTTGCATGCGGCAGCAAGCCATGGCTTTGGCGGTAACTTATATAAAGAAATCATGGAAGAGGCAAGGCGTGAACTTTATCCAGGTTGCACCGAGGAGTCTAGGCTTACTTTCATTATTAAGCTGCTGCATATAAAAGTGTACAATCGGATAACAACATCTGGGTTTGATGCATTCCTTGCATTGCTTTCATCATCTTTGAAGAATGTGCCCGGCCTTCCTAAGTCATATAATGAAATGAAAGCCCTGCTTCGGAAGCTTGGTTTTGGTTATGTGTCTATTGATGTGTGCAAGTATGATTGTGCCTTATTTTGGAAAGACCATGAAGCCGATGAGCATTGCCCAGTTTGTGGATTCACAAGATGGAAAGTGAACAAGGAAGGCAGAAAGAAAGTTCCTCACAAGGTCCTTCGTTACTTTCCAATTATTCCACGCCTACAAAGGCTATTTATGTCAAAGCAACGGGCACAATATGCAAGATGGCACAAGGAAAAGAGGGCACCAGTTGATAATGAAATGAGACATCCTGCTGATGGGGAAGCTTGGAAAGAATTTGATGAGCATTTCAAGTCTTTTGCAGATGATCCACGCAGTTTGAGGTTAGCCATTGCTACAGATGGATTTAACCCATTTGGGCAGATGACCAATTCATATAGCATCTGGCCAGTGATAGTAGTTCCCTACAATTGGCCACCATGGATGTGTATGGATCAGTCCAATTATATGCTTGCTTTGCTAATTCCAGGGAAAAAGTCGCCGGGCAAAGATTTCCATGTGTTCATGCAGCCTCTAATAGAAGACTTGATTACTCTTTGGGGTGGTGTCCGTACTTATGATGCTGTTGAAGGCAAAGATTTTAGACTGCGTGCAGCAATTCTGTGGGCAATCAATGACTACCCTGCATTAGGCACCTTGTCAGGTAGAACCACAAGGGGTTACTTTTCATGTGTGCATTGTGATGAGAACCCATGTTCTGAATGCTTGAGAAATAAGATTGGTTTCATAGGCCATAGACGTTTCCTTACACAAGATCATCGCTGGAGGAAAAACAAAACTTTTGATGGCCACCATGAAAGTAGAGAGCAGCCAAGGAAATTTACTGCAGATGAGGTTATGGCAAGGTTGGATGAAATTATCTATGTTCCAGGCAAGAATCCAGATATGCCAAAATCAAGAAAAAGACGCCGTAACGGAGAACCAGTTTGGCATTTGAAGGTCAGCTTGTATGACTTGCCATATTGGTCAAAATTGAAGCTTCAGTACAACCTTGATGTCATGCACATAGAGAAAAACATATGTGACAACATTTTGTCAACTCTACTTAATATTCCTCACAAGACAAAGGACACAGTCGCTGCTAGACTAGATTTGGAAGACAGAGGTATAAGAAAGGAGCTTCATTTGGTGGGAGACTCCTCAAAGCCCAAAGCGTGTTACGTTCTAACACCGGAGGAAAAGAAAAAGTTCTTGGAGTTTGTGAGCAATGTTAAATTTCCAGACGGCTATGCCTCTAACATATCAAGATGTGTCAATCTGGAGGGAGGAACAATGTTTGGACTAAAAACACATGACTGTCATATACTGCTTCAGCGTATTTTACCAGCTGCCCTTCGTGGTTTGGTGCGCAAAGATGTATATGAAGTAATAGCTGAATTAGGAAGGTTTTTCAGACAACTTTGCTCAAAAACTTTAAAGGTAGATGCACTACACCAGATGAAGGAAGATATTGTCATTATCCTTTGCAAGTTGGAGAAAATTTATCCTCCTGCATTCTTCGATGTTATGGTTCACCTAGCAGTACACTTACCAGATGAGGCACTCCTTAGGGGACCGGTTCAATATGGGTGGATGTATCCCATTGAGAGAAGATTGGGTACCTTTAAGCGTTTCATCCGAAACAAAGCAAGACCAGAAGGATGTATTGCAGAGGCATACACTGCCTATGAGTGTATGACCCAGTGCTCAACATATTTCAGTGACATTATTAATAGGTTCACTAGGCCAGAGAGAAACTTAGATGGAGAACATAACATGTCACTGAATGGTTACTCTATTTTTTCACATGGTGTTAACCTGCTGGGTGCTTCAAATTTACATTACGAAGAAAAAGACTATGACTCAATGGTTTGGTTTGTTTTAAATAATTGTGACGAGGTTGATGAATACAAAGAGTGAGTAATTGCTATAATGTCATTGCATATAACCTTATTCAATAATTAATGGTGTCACAAAAACTTATTAAGTTATTCCTTTATTGCAGCTTGTACAGGGAAGAATTAGAACACCAACAAGTCAATGATATTGAAAAAGTGATGTCAAAACAATTCGCTGCATGGTTCGAGAAACATGTGCGTGCAACTAAAGAACCTTTGACTGAAAGATTCATGATTGAATATATTTTCAATGTAACTAATTCTCTTTTTTTTGCAACCTGTAGATCACCAGATTGAAATGCCAAGGCACAACTCACATTGATGAAGACCTATACTCACTTGCATGTCGGCCGATCAACCGTGTGCGTTCATACACAGCATGTGTAATCAATGGGGTAAGGTACCACACTAAGGCTCGTGAGGAACATAGGAAGACACAAAACTCCACCATAAAAACTGGAGGTACTCACACAGATGGCACAATTGACTTCTATGGCACAATCACAGACATTATTGAGTTGACTTATGCTAAGAACAGCAAAGGAAATAGGACTGTTATCTTATTGCGGTGTGAATGGTACAATCTTGAGGGAAGGGCATACAAGATGAAAGATGATGGTTATTTCAAGAGTATTAACATCCAAGGCCGATGGTATAAGAATGACCCTTTCATTCTAGCCACAGAAGCTGAACAAGTATTTTTCTTGGAAGATACAAAGTTAGGTCCATCCTGGAGAGTGGTACAAGATTTTGGCCACCGACATATTTTTAATGTTGAAGAGTCCAACACAAACCAACCAATCCATGAACAAGTCCAGATGAGATGTCAGGAGGCATACCAAGAGGAGAATACTTCTTCCAGAGATGGTATAGTTGGGGACATTTATCCTGAATTGGATTTGCTGCACATGGATCAACCAGGCAGCCCTGTCAGTAGAGACCTTGTCGAGAGCATCCGTCGACAGGAACATATACTTCACGGTGAGGAAACATACGACGAAGATGAAGATGACGAAGATGAAACCTTCCTTGAGTACCATAGTCCAGATGAAGGAAATATGTCTGATGAAGACATTGATGATGACTAAACTTTGCATTTCTGAACATTTTTGTGAACCATCTACTTGTATTTGTGATTTTGTTGTAACTTGGAACAATGAATTTCTTTAAGTGCCTTATTCTGGTGTAAGACATTATATTTCATTCATGGTGCAAGTTACTCAGGCTATAATGCTTCTCATAATTCATGGACATGATATATGTATACACTGCTGCCTAGAAAACATGCTGCAAGTTTTTATGACCACAAGAGAATGTCTTGCAAAGTAAAGCATTTGTCATAGTATATACATGCTGCCAACATTTCATCCCACACAGGTGATATATTCATGCACACAACTTTGTGACCACAGAACCATGTCAGGGAAAGTACAAAATTTGTCATAATATGTATATGATGGAACTTACATACAGGCTGCAAATATTTCAACCCACACAACTTTCACATCACAGCATAATGGATCTTTATTTCAAACATAACAAGTGCACATACATCACACCATGTTACACAAGTGATGTCCAAGAGCAGAAAGGCCCATATTTCATAGCAAGTGCACATACATCCACCACTCAACAGGTTCACTACAACATGTTCTTCAACACTACAGCATGCACTACATGTCGCCTACTTCAACACAAAAGCTACAACGAAGAAGATGGCCAATACTAGGAATACTGTTACATTTACACATCCACACACTAGACAAATGCAGCTTCCCATGCCTTCACTGTTCTTGACAACAATTTCCTTCAAATTGTTCAGATTGTGCTCCAAGCTCTCAATTTTTCCCATGAGCTCTGGAACTTCTCCCGTCGAAACTGCTGCAATGGTCGAGGTAGCTGGCGGTAGATATCCATTATCACGAAGGAAGACCACATATTCTTCCTCGAACCAATACCGACTACATGTTGCCTGCATCCAAAATTCAAGCGCATCATCACATCCCTGCAATCTGGGCACTTGAAATTTGGGTATGCAAATTCAACCAATTCACTAACATTTGTATAGGTCTTCCTGGGGCACTTGAAATATCTCTTTCCAATGTTATTGGAGTAGATGGTAGTCGCAGCAAACACCCTCACATCCCTGCAATCCGGGCACATTATCAACGGCAACCCAGTCACATCATCGATCGGCGCCTCCAGATCGACACCAGTAGGCACCGTGCCTGCAGCAACAACAGCTAGAGGTCTGGGTTGCATGGCATCCCTTGATGCGCTTGGCCGCCGAGTACGAACAGTAGACGATGAGGCCTCTGACATTATACCTGATTGATGCAGATGCAGCTGATTAGCCATTTCACATCGCATTGACCAATAGCTATTGAACACTACAAAGAAGAACGGGGAGGGGATCAGGGAGCCACTGTCGACCAAATGGAGGGGGTGGGTCGGGGATTGACGGTGCCACTACCCACCATGTGCCACCGAGTACCAACCTGATGCAGTCACGACGTTGACCGGGGATCCGCACTCACCGGCTTGCCTCACTGCGGATCTCGCGCTCCCTCCGCCAACTGCGCCGCACCGTCAGCTGGGGAAAGGGGAGCCTGCACCGCCCTGCAGCCGTGCTGCGCCCACACGCCACCACGCGCCCACCGCTCACCCAGAGGACACCCACCGCTCGCCACCTGCCGCTCGCCGCTGTCCGCCTGCCGTTCGCCGCCGTCTTCGGTCTGGTCGGGCACGGATGGGGAATGGGGAAAATGGAATGGTCAACCGAGCGGACAGGGTCCACCTGCCATGGAGTATACGGACGTTGGGGCAAGTTTATTTTTTGTAATGACATAAGGTGACGCACCCAAACAGTCACATAAAGAAAATAGATCGCGTCACAAAATGAAGTCGTCAGACTAGCTCCAGGCGCCTAACTAACTGTGACGAAACTTTGTGCCTATTGTGACATAAAAAGTTCTGTCGTCACAAATGTTTCCTCGGCTCATGAGTTTATGACGACACAAAAAACTGCGTCACAATATGTCAACATTATAAGACGAAACTAGGACCCGTCATGAGGAGTTTTGTCATAAAAAACAAGATTTCTTGTAGTGGCTTGAACTTGGAAAAGAAGAAAGAGAAAAACAAAAGGCTCAAGGCAAATGTATAAATGATAGGAGCCATTTTGTTTTGGTAATCAAGACACTTAGCGAGTGTGATCACATTTAGGATTGATAGCCGTACTATTAAGAGGAGTGAAACTCGTATCGAAATGCGGTTGTCAAAGTGCCACTAGATGCTCTAACTCATTGCATATGCATTTAGGATCTAGTGGAATGCTAACACCCTTGAAAATGTTTGTGAAAATATGCTAACATATGTGCACAAGGTGATACACTTGGTGGTTGGCACATTTGAACAAGGGTGAAGAAGTTAGAGGTGAAATGGAGTTGGTGGCAATGATGCTGCCGTCGGTCTACTAACCGGACGCTTGGTCACTCAGCGACCGGACGCTAAAAGGCTGCGTCCGGTCGAGCTATCAGACGGCACAGTGGTTAGGGTTGAGCACCGGACGATGGGCTGTGTCCGATCAAGCTTGACCGGACGCGTCCGGTCGGCAAAAGTCGGTTTTGGGAGCTTACTGGAAAGGACCGGACACTGGGGTCTGAGCGTCCGGTCACTTGTGCCAGAGCGTCCGGTCAGTCAATAGCCATTGAGATCTGGTGGCTCATGTTTAACTCAGAATGACACGTGGCTTACATCGGGCGACTATTTCGTGGGGGCTTCTATTTAAGCCCCATGGCCGGCTCAAGCTCACTCTCTTGGCCATTTTCATTGACATAGCAACCTTGTGAGCTTAGCCAAAGCCCTCCCACTCATCTCCATCATTGATCCATCATCATTGTGAGATTGGGAGAGAATCCAAGTGCTTTGTTTGAGTGATTGCATCTAGAGACACTTGGCATTCGTGTTGCGCTGCGGATTTCACTTGTTTCTCTTGGTGGTTGCCACCACATGGACGGTTGGAGCAGCGGTGGAGGATTGGCACGAGTTGGTAATTGTTCGTGGCCATCTCCGGTGATTGTAAGGGGAGTTGTACCTTCCCTGGCGGAGTGCCGAAAGGTAAATCTAGTAAATTGCTCGTGTCATTGAGTTACCTCACTTGTGGGTCGGTTCTTGCGGTGTCCTATCATGTGGATGAGGTTTATGAAACACCTCTTAGCCGCCGAACCACCAAGTGTTGGTCGACACAACGGGGACGTAGCGTGTTGGCAAGCACGTGAACCTCGGGAGAAAATCGATTGTCTCTTGTCTTTGGCATTCTCCCGGTGATTGGCTATATATTCATCTTGTGATTGGTTCATCCCCTACACGGTGGTATAATCACCCTACTCACTTATTTACATTCTTGCAAACTAGTTGATACAAGCTCTTTAGTGTAATTAGAATTGAGAGCTTGCTTTATTATTTACATTCATCTAGTTGAGCTCTTTAGAGTAGCAAGTTTGAGAGCTCCTAGTGAGTAGTTACATAGCAAGTTTGTGTGCCTAAGTAATCATTGCAACTAGAATTGTTGGATAGGTGGCTTGCAACCATTGTAGAGCTAGAGCAAGTTTGCATTATGCTATTTGTCATACTAATCAAATTGCTCTAGTTGATTTATAGATTTTTAAATAGGCTATTCACCCCCTCTAGCCATATTAGGACCTTTCAAGTGGTATCGGAGCCGTGGTCACCGTTTGATTAAAGGCTTAACAACCTCGGTGTCAAAATTATGGCTCAAGATGTGTTCAACCATGTGGGGGGCAAACCACCATTCTTTGATAGCACAAGCTATGATTATTGGAAGAGAAAGATGAGAATGTATCTTGGTTCAATCAATGATCAAGTATGGGCAAGTTTTTGGTTGTAAATTCTACAATTGAAGAAAAGCACTAGATTGAGCAAGTTTGAAAAGAAATGTGATGAAGGTTTCTTGCTTGGTTACTCCACTACTAGCAAGGCTTATAGAGTTTAGAATTTAGCTAGTGGTACTCTTGAGGAGGTTCATGATGTGGAATTTGATGAAACAAATGGTTCCCAAGAGGAAGATGAGAATCTAGATGATGTTAGAGGCACTCAATTGATCAATGCAATGAAGAACATAGACATTGGTGATATAAGGCCTAGAGAGGTGATTAATGTTAATGATGACAAGATTCAAGTGCTCTCTAACTCAAATGTGCAAGCTAGTGGTTCTCATGATCAAGTTCAAGCAAGTACTAGTCATGACAAAGTGCAAGATCAACAAGTGGCTAGTTCATCATCTCAACCAAGTGATCAATCAAATACAAGCAATCAAGTGCAAGTGCTTCAACCAACCAATGTTGTAAGAGATCATCCATTGGACACTATCATTGGTGATATTTCAAGAGGTGTGCAAACTAGATCAAGATTGGCTTCATTTTATGAGCATTTCTCATTTGTGTCATCCATTGAACCTAAGAAGATAGATGAAGCTTTGAAGGATGTTGATTGGGTCAATGCTATGCATGAAGAGCTAAACAACTTCACAAGAAACTAAGTATGTGAGTTAGTTGAGAGGCCTAAGGATCATAATGTGATTGGAACCAAATGAGTCTTTTGGAACAAGCAAGATCAAGATGGGATAGTAATAAGGAACAAAGCAAGATTAGTGGCTCAAGATTACACACAAGTTAAAGGTCTTGACTTTGGATAAACATATGCCCTGGTTGCAAGATTGGAAGCAATTAGGATCTTGTTAGCCTATGCTTGTGCTCACAACATTAAGTTGTACCAAATGGATGTGAAGAGTGCATTTCTCAATGGGTACATCAATGAGCTTGTGTATGTTGAGCAACCTTTCAGTTTTGAAGATGAAAAGAAGCCCAACCATGTTTACAAGTTGAGAAAGGCTTTGTATAGATTGAAACAAGCACCTAGAGCATGGTATGAGAGATTGAGGGATTTCCTACTCTCTAAGGGATTCAAGATGTGAAAGGTTGACACCACTCTCTTTACCAAGAAGCTTGGAAATGACTTGTTTGTTTTGCAAATCTATGTTGATGATATCATTTTTGGGTCAACAAATCAAGATTTTTGTGAGGAGTTTGGCAATATGATGGCAAGTGAGTTTGAGATGTCCATGATTGGAGAGCTTAGTTACTTCCTTGGTCTTCAAATCAAGCAAATGAAGAATGACACATTTGTGAGTCAAGGCAAGTATATTAAGGACATGCTCAAGAAGTTTGGAATGGATGATAGTAAAGCTATTAGTACACCAATGGGGCCAAGTGAAAGCTTGGATAGTGATGCTAGTGGCAACATGGTGGATCAAAAGATGTATCGATCTATGATTGGAAGCATACTCTATGTGACCGCATCAAGGCCGGATGTGATGTTTAGTGTATGCTTGTGTGCTAGATTTCAAGCCTCACCAAGAGAGTCATTTGAAGGCAACTAAGAGAATATTAAGGTACTTGAAGCATACACAAAATGTTGGATTGTGGTATCCCAAAGGAGCAAGATTTGAGTTGATTGGATATTCGGACTCTGATTATGCGGGATGCAAAGTTGAGAGAAAGAGCACATCGGGCACATGTCAACTATTGGGAAGATCACTTGTGTCTTGGTCATCAAAGAAGCAAAATAGTGTAGCACTTTCAACCGTCGAAGCGGAGTACATTTCGGCCGGTAGTTGTGCTCAATTACTTTGGCTGAAGGCTACTTCGAGTGATTTTGGAATCAAATTCAAGCAAGTGCCATTGCTATGTGACAATGAAAGTGCCGTGAAGCTCACCAACAACCCGGTTCAACATTCAAGAACAAAGCATATTGATGTCCGTCATTATTTCATAAGAGATTACCAACAAAAAGGGGACATGCATTGAGAGTGTAGGCACCGAAAATCAACTTGTTGATATCTTCACCAAGCCACTTGATGAGAAGAGGTTTTGCAAGCTAAGGAATGAATTGAACATACTTGACTTCTCCAATATGTGTTGATACACCCCAATTTATATGACATGCCTCTCCTTCGAGCAATCCAAGGTAAAAAGTTGATTCGCATAGCATACATCCTTGCTAAGGATATGATTAGTGCATCTAGACATATTTCACATTTGAATAGGCTCATTCATGAAAATCAAATGAATTTGATGCTTGTATGGTACCACTATTGCTTGTATGCTTGAAATGATCTAGTGGTAGCATATGACATGTTTGTGGGCTTGTAAACCTAGTGTTTGATCTATAAAATGAGCTATAAGTGTTTAACTCAACATGGTACAAGATAACCCTTATTTAGAGGTGTGAAGAAGCTTGTC